GTGTAGCTAGTCAATAATCATGAGAAGTTATGAGAAGTTGTGTTGCAAAACAGACACAAAGTCGTGTGAAACTTCTTCTTCCATTTTCTTCCTGGATTTTGGTTTTCCAAAAGGTAAGGAAAGCTTGCAATGTGTTTGTGTCATGTGCATGAGATTAGGGTAGTCCAAGATCGCTAAATTCGTATTATGTTGTTGATTCTTTGGTGGTTGAGTTATGGGTATGGGATCTTGAAGCTAGATATCTTGCTCATGGTGAATATTTGATATATGGTTGCATGTTGTTTTTGATGGTGAAATTTTGATGTGCCTATATTGTATACCCATTATATGTTGCCAAATTTCTGTTGTTGGGTTGGTGTGTGCAGGATTTTGAGCAAAAATCAGTTCTACACAAGTGTGAAACTGATCGCGCCAATGCATGCCTTCACCATAGCTGGTGCAACTCAACTAGAGGGTTCTCCATTACCCATGCCAAGCATAGAATCGGTGGGGTCAAGTGTGAGAAGAGGGAATAATCTATTGGGTTGGACTAGCGTCGGGCATGATCCGAAAGGTGTCGGACATGAGGAGAGAGACTCCTCCCTTCCTGGGTTTGCGTCGAGTGTGAGACAAATAGAAATCCCATAAGTGACTTAGTGTCACAAGCTAATGTTGTGGTATATCCATATCCAAATTGTTCTACCTTGACATAGTATCATACTTCTCAATTTAAGTAATAAAATCTTATAAATCAAACTAAGTTGTCTATACTTGGCTCTTTTTGAGGCCTAACATTATACTATACTTGATATGATTAAGATAAGTCTAACGCAACGCTAGGATTCAGTAAGGTCAAGTCATTTAAACTATTGATCTCTGTTGTAAGAGATCTCTTTAGTTGACATGAATGATGATGCATTAATTGTTAATATCTGTATGCAGAGATTGATTTTAATAAAATCGATAAATGTTGAGCAAGGTGTGATTTGTGTTATTGATGATATATGTTGTTGCCTTTATCGTATTGTTGAATGTTGTTTCTTTTATAAGTTTATCTTTCTTTTCCTTGTGATTAAGACTACAATGACCAAACTTGATATGCGAATAGGGAAGGATTAGACAGTTAGTTGGAGTGATGAACTTGAATCAAGTTGGAGGTGACTTGTTTTGTATGATTCTTCTAGCAAAGTCATGTTTTGGAGTTTTCAATCGATCCACTAGAAGATTATTTTTGTAATGATTTTAGACTATGGTGTATATAGTATATGTAAATTGGATTTTTTTATATATATATTGTGTATAATCCATATATTTTATCTTATGTATGTATAGTCAGTTGTTTATATATGCTCATTCGTCTACATGGTTTGCGTATATTTTATTTTAGCTTCCACTTTATTGTCAATTATCGTAATAAGTGTGATAACATGCAAATCGTTACATGTTAAGTGTTACATGATTTATAAGAGAGAAAATTAATAACAAATTAATTTTTATCATAATATTCAAGGACGGAGCCAAGGGGGGACCTACGGGTGCCACGGCCCCCCCAACAATTTTAATTTTTTTTTATATACATATATATTACTATATGGCACCCCCTATTTTTAATATAAACTCATATGTATAATTAAATGAATAACCCAAATTTATTTTTTTATTCAACTTTTGGACTTCTGGTACGGCCTGCTATGTGGTATCACTTTGGAATTTTTTTTTTTTTT